AGCCTCCCCATTTTTTTTTTTTTTTTTTTTTTGCAGTACTGGGGATTGAACTCAGGACCCTGCGCTTGCTAGACAAGAGCTTATTCTACCGAGCTATCTCCCCCAGCCCAAGAAACTTTTAAAGTTGGTTGTGTGTGTGTGACTTGGGATTCTGGCCTCAGCAGTACTTTCTTCCTGAGCAAAAGGCAGGAGCAGAGTGAGGGATCTCCAGGGGTCAGTTGGGGGTACCCTGAATTGAGGGGCCAGAGTACACACAAAGAAGAATCTTTCAGGGATCTGACTCCAAGCCCCAGTGGGGACCAGAAGAGAGTCTCAGTCCCTCTTCCCTTTTTACACCTTCCATCTGTGTGGCTGCCTGTGGGACTGGCACGTTCAAGCACCTACGTATACATCTATGGATGCGATTTCAGTTTTTTGTTAATCCCTGGGACAGACCCAGTGGGTATGGGATTATCCTGCTCGTTAGCCAGATGAGGAAGGTGAGGCTGAGAGGAGCTAAGTGACTTGCCCAGTGCCACACAGCAGCTAGGAGAAGCAGGGCCTGGATTCTGTCTGACTGTATGTAGTGTTAACAGTTGGAGAGAGGGGAAGGGAGGTGGCTGGGAAAGAGATTAGCGTGAGAGGATTATGTCAGAAGTCTGATGAAGACAGGAAATGGGGTCCTCTGGCCCTAGAGGATGTGAACCTGGGTCCCTGCCCCAAGGGGCTTTCCGCAGAGGTAAAGTCTCTGCCTCCTCTGTCCACTTACTTGTGTGTCTTCAGTTGTCTACTTGGAATTTGGGATTTGCTTTGTCACTTACTGTGTACCTTGCATATGTTGAGCCCCTACTTTTATTTATTCAGTGAGTGTTTTGGGGTTTGATTTGTTTTTATTTTTGTTTCTTGGTGCTGGGAGCTGGATCCAAGCCCTCATGCATGCTAAGTACAAACTACCTCTAAGGGACTGGGGAGATAGCTCAGTAGAATAAATGCTTGCCTGGCAAGTACAAGGCCCTGAGTTCAATCCCTGGTTCCGCCAAAAAACCCAAAACAAACTACCTCTGAGCTGCATCTTCAGCTTCAATTTTTATTTATTGAGTGAACATTTATTTAGCATTTACCACATCCCCAACATTTTTCTAACTTTATAAATATGCACTTAATCATCATAGCCTCCCCATTTTTTTTTTTTTTTTTCCCAGAACCAGGGATTGAACTCAGGCCCTCATGCTTGCCAGAGAAGCACTTATTCTACTGAGCCATCTCCCCAGCCCCTCCCATTCTTATTTTATATATACTTGTCCCTTTATCCTCTTGCTTCACTTTCCAGCTTTAGCTAACTGTGGTCAACCGCAGTCCAAAAATATTAACTGGAAAGTTTTGGAAATAAAGAGTTTATAAGCTTTAAACAACATTTAATATAGTAGTGTAATTGTTCTATTTGATTACTATTACTGTTAATATCTTATTGTATCTAGCTTATAAGTTAAACATCATAGATCTGTATGAGAAAAGGCATGGTATGGATAGCGTTTGGTCTTATCCACTGTTTCAGGCACCCCCTGGTGATCTTAGAACATTCCCCTTCAGGTGGGGGGCTACTGTATTTGCAAACGGAGGCCTTGGAAGGGTGACTTACCCCAAGTCATACAGAGACTATTTAGAACTCTGGAATCCAGAATCCTCCTTCTGAAGCATCATGCTGTCTTACCCTTGTACCATAAATAAGAGATCCAGGCCTTGAACTCCCAGGAGATACAACGTCTATGGGCCACCTCCAGTGTAGACCCAGCCCTGTCCAAACCAACTCTATATGAAAAGGGGAGGGAACTTGAGGGTTAGCTCAATTGTTTAAGCGCCTGTTGGGGCAAACCCAGTCAGGCGCAGGGGACCATGGTTCGATCCCCAGCTCCCCATGCCTTACCAGACCCACCCTCAAGGCAGCCTGAGCCAGCCAAAAAAAAAAGAAGAAGAAGAAAAGAGGAAATCAAAGCACCAAGATGTGCCTGACTAGAAATAGCGGAGCATTTGGGCTTTCATTCCTGTGTATCCTAGTTACTTGACGCCTCCCTGAGCCTCAGTTTCCTAATCTGTCAAGAGAAAGTAACTGATGCCAGAGAGCTTTGTGAAGTTCAAATGACATAAAATACGTAGGGTTTGGGGCTGGGGAGATGGCTCAGTAGGATAAGCACTTGACTGGCAAGCGCAAGGATATGAATTCAATCCCCGGTTCCACCAAAAAAAAAAAAGTAGGGTTTGCACTTCAAAGCAGAGTCTCAGGTAAGTGTCTGTCTAGATGCTGAGACCCAACGCCTGAAGGAAGAAATCCTATCTCCGGGATTGGCACCTGAGCAGATCAGGATGAGGATGGCAGTGAAAGGCCTGGCACTGGAGTCAGACTGCTGGAGTTTACTGTGACAAGCGGTTTCCTCTTCCTAACCTTGATTTCCTTATCTGTAAAATGGGTACAATAGTAGTTCTTCCCACCCCCAAAGGGTATGTATGGTAAGATTCAATTTATTCCAAAATAATATTAAACAACTGTGGGGTGCTAAACATGCCTCTAGTCACAGCAAATAGTAAAAGTGCAATGTACATTAGCAATTTTTCATCATTCGAATCTGGAAAGTAGTGGGTATTCTTTGGGAGTGAGGAGTGGAAGAGGCTGAGGCTTTTAGAATGGAGGTGAAAGGCCTGGCCAAATAGCTCAGTGGATTAAAGTGCTCTAAGCAGGCTCAGGGGGCTGTGGTTCGATTGATCTTGGGGCCTGTCATGCTGGCCCCGCCCCCAGCGTACGCTGAGACACATGGTGGCCCGTGCGTATAATCCCAGCTTTTGGGAGGCTGTAAACAGGCAGATTACTACGAGTCCTATCTAGTAGTGAGACCCTGAACACCCTGTAGACCCTTCCC